CATAAAATTGCCTAAAGCTGGCCATACACTGGTAGATTTTTGTATGAACGTTCATGCAAAAGATCTTGTCAGAACATTCAATAATACCATCAGAGATGGAATGAATGGAGTTTTAATTTGAATCACAGTCACTGTTTGAAATTTGTGTATTTGATAAAAATGTTCCCTCCTGTTCCCGCCTCCTTCATCATGTTTGCTTTTATGTTTTTGAAGAGCCAAAAACTTTTAGGAAACCAGTTTAGAAATAAACCCTCAAGTAGCAATAAAAATCTAAAATACTAGTTTTGAATGACATCAGCTTTTAAAACCTAACATATAGTCATACCTGATGTACAAGCTCATGAGCAATCACAGCAGCTACTCGTTGTTTATTGACTGTTGCTGATTCAGCGGGGTCATAAAGCAGGTTAGTCTCTCTGTAGGTGATTAATCCCCAGTTCTCCATAGCTCCAGTGCCGAAATCTGGAATGGCTATTTGATCTAGATCAAGGAAATCACATTATCATTAAACTCTGTACTGCAGGTAAGGCTGGTCATAAATACAACACATTTTTGTCTGATCCTACAATGATTCAACTCAATGAATGAGATGTAGATGATCATTATAAATGTGAAAATGCTCAAAAATGCATAAACTAGCTATTCCAAATTCAGATGATTTACTGGAATCCACATTTTATTATGCTAATACATGCTATGTGATTCAGCAGATCTTTAGGTGTCATAGCAATCCTATTGCCCACTGATAATATATTTAATTAAACATCTGCAGAGAATAATCTTCTGCCATGTTGCATAATATGTTTTATCATTTCCAATATATCAGTCATTTACAGTTGTGTACATAAAATCAGGAAATTATCACATTAAGGAAACATGTTTATTGAAAGTCATATGGAGTACGGTATCTCTACACATCATTTTAGCACGTCATAGAGAATGAAGTGATTGCTGTAGCGGTAGTGCTTATAAACTCTAGGGCTGGCATACCAACTCCTGCAACAAACTAATTATTGATCCAACCCAATCCCACTCAATCGATTTTTTAACTTCTTGGTTGGGCCACCCATAGTTACACTTAAGGTGTAACTTGGGTTTGGCTACTGTTGAGAAAGGATCGGGACTGGGTATAGGACTAGTGTTTGGAGCAGCATTGAAGTGTATGAATAATGTATTAATAGTTTTGGAAAGAGTCAGAAAGGGTTAAAAACCCTGTCAGTTTATTTTTTGTTGTCTTTGTCCTTTTTGGGAAGTTTTCAGGCATCAGGCAGTGAGCAGAAATCTCTACAAAGTGAGGGAATCACCCTCAAAAATAGTTGTTGCCTGAACAGGTATCCCTACTGGAAGATTTCACCTCCCCTTCTGTTCTTATGACCACTGTAAACTTTTGAATGTGGATTTCCCATCACTTTCTGACTTATGGTGATAATAGTAATAATAGTCACCAGAAGAAATACAGACCTACTACCTAGTATGTATACAGACATCTAAAAAAATTGACAGGAACCTTCCCTACTCTATCCAAAACGGGAAAAAAAATGGCTTTACACACAGTTTAATAGCTTTGTAAAAGTAGAAAATATCAGCTTTTTGAATACCTATAAAAAAAACTTGATTTAAACATAAATGCCTTTAAATAAAAAAAAAAGAAAAAAAAAAAAAAGAAAACCAGGGCTGTTTTAGCAAAGCCAAAATTCAGGAGTATGTAAGATACTAACATCACAAACCACTGAAGTTACTCTGGGCATTCAGTTTTAACAGAGTTTAAGTACATAATATCTTAATATGAGTTTAAAGCTGCCTATACATCTTACAACCATCGCACGACTTTCGTTGTGCGATGGTTGTAAGGTGATTAAAATTTCATACGATCTGCCCATCTTGGACAGGCAGATCGTACTTGCGATCATCGCAGGCACTTCCCACCGAGGTGAGAGCTTCCAATGATTGCAGTGCTGAGCGGGCAGTGTGCGCTTTGCGCACACTGGCCCGTGCGGCATTGGTCTTCCGAGCACGCCACAAATCCGAAGAAAATCGTACGATATTTGGCAGGTTTTCCAGCGTGCTCGGAAGACGAAAGTCGTGGGACCTTACAATAGAAGCGGTCGCACGCTGCCCATACACCTGCCGATTATCGTACGATCGCGGGATCACCCGTGATTACCGTACGATAATCGGCAGGTGTATGGGCACCTTTACAGTAAGTAATTCAGTACAACCACTCCCACTTGCACCTCAGGTCACATTATTCACGTAGGAAGCCTGTATATTCACATAGCTCAGCAACTGGTGTTCCCAGAACATCAGGTTACTAACAAAGCAGTGTAGTAGACTGAAGCACTATAAATATACCTAGATACAAATCAGATGCACTGAGCAGAAAGGTTAGGTTCCCTGAACAGATTTTAATGCATAATTTCATTTGGAATGAAATGTTTTTCTTTTGCATACATACCCAGCTTAGGTAGAGAATAGGTCATATCAAAGTACTCTTCAAAGAAGTCAAATATAATTTTGGTAGTCTCTGCAGCATACAGTGCTGTTTCGTTTTGATTTGGCTGCACATAGATTCTCAGCTGCAATTAACACAAAAATATTAGTGTAATTGGAAAAATCATTTCAAATGTTCTCGCCAGAGAAATAAGACAACATTCACTCTCTCTTATAACATCGTTTTTGAAGTTGATCAGCTCAGAAATCAGGCATGTTGGTAAATGGATAAGAACCATATTCTGCCAGTGTACAAGGTCATAACAGGATCCAGCATGACCTGTACAGTGCACTTTGAATGTGGTGAGAATGGAAATTCTGGACAGTCAACAGTTTGGGTATTTACATCAAACATCAACCTCCATGTGAGTGTGGTCAGCTGAGCTTATGACACCTCTATTTCTGCAGTCAATCATAGTTAGGCTGTGTCATGAGTTGGGAGTTGTGTAATAAAGGGATTCTCCATGCTACAACCATGTGTTAATGCATCCAGACCACTCACTAAACCAACCTTAAATTAAATGTATGTATTAGTGATTTGTTTTAGTAAGGCACTGATCTTTTCAATCATATCAGTCACTGTACTATTGCCTGATGACTGAATCTGGCCATACACATGGTAGTTTTCAGTCAATTTCAACCACTACTGAACAGCTCTAAATACAATCTAAATCTACCATCTACAGTCTACCACCCACAAGTTTGAATGACCGCCAGAATTTAATTGAATTTAGTTAGTCAAAACTGGGCAATAAATTGACAGCTTTAATAAAGTTATTGAAAGTACAAATTGAAACAGAGCTGAAATGTTTAATAGGGCCAATTTTGATCCCATCTCCGTGGGGCCTATTGAAATGACCATTTGAAAAAAACAACTCTATATGTTTGTTATGTGTTCTCATTCACACAGCAAACCTAAAAATATATATTTTATAAATATTTCTTATTTTTTAGATGTATCTGTGTAGCAGGCCTTTGCAAACTTCTCTCTCAATTGTCAAGTGTCAGGAGACTCTTGCTGGCCCGCAGCGAGACTAGGGACAGACTGAGCTTCCCCTCATTAACATGAGATGCTTCTAGATCTTAAAACCTTTGTTAGGACAGACCGTGTTTGAATCTGGTTTAATTATGTTAACACTAATTTGCCCAGCCCCCCTTGCATTCTTTCATTCCAAAGCAGGGATGAGATCTGGCCCACTCACAGGGACGTTTCACAACAAGCCCCCCTGTGCAATAACAAAACCCTCTGACCTTAAGGAATAGCTTGATAATTGCAAACTATTCTCAACATCAGTAACAGTATCGTGAAGGTTTCATGTTTTCTTTTAAATTGGATCACTGAAGCAGTGCATTTTCTTTTTCTTTTTTGACCATGATCAACAGACAGATCTCTGCAAAGTTATTTCATTGTAATAAAAAAAATGAAATAACTAATTGCACAAGTATACACCCCTATATCTGGTGAGTCTGTATTGTGGCAAAACCTACATCAGGAAGACAAAAGAACATTCCAAGTAAATCCATACAATTGTGTTTGGCAGTGTTTTGAACTTCCTTTATGCGCGTCAAGCCATAATTTTCTTTTTTTAATGGAGTGTACCTTTAATGCTACAGTATTGTCCGCCGCATGATCTAGAAATCTGATTAACACAAATATCAAAATATTAATTACTTTCCATATGAATACTTCATCTGGCAAATATGGCATATTTACAGCTGCCTGATGGGGTCTTTTTAAATGACAAGTTTGATACTTTTAATGCATCACGTGGATTCTTTTTGTTAAACCTAATTAGAACCGAAGGATAATACTTACTGGGATTCCTCTTTTTGAAAATCGTTCCACATATGTGAACTGGTGGACAGCAAAGGCAACCAAATATGTACTCATAGGGACAGACTTCTGGAACACAGTTTTGATCCACCCATTCCCTAAATCAGTAGAAGCCTAAATAAAAAACAAACAGAATATAGTTATTTTAATATTATAGTATTGTACCAACAAATGTATTCACTGCATCTATTACAAAAACAGCAGAGGTAAATAGGATCAATCATCTGAACCCTCTGATTACACTTTTTACTTCTGATTATTGCTGTAGAAACAGGAAGTCAATCATGAGTAACCAACAGCAGTAAAGATTGAAGAGGATTTATCTTAAACAAACTAGATAGGAAAAAATGTATTATAAACGTCAGTAAGCTGTCAAAGGAAACCTTCACAGGGCTCAATGTAAGTGTGCATTGATTGCCTCTACTTTTAGAAATGAATCTTGCAGGGCAGTCACACCAACCCTGCAATTTTAAAAACTTTCTGAGAAACTTGCATAGATCAAGTATATACACTGTATTTAAAGGGTTCTTACTACACACCTTCCTTCTGGAGGGTGGCTACTTTTGTTCGCCATGGGCCCTGTGTGTGTTGTAAAGTAGTCACCGCTCCAAGACCATTCCTGCAATGGACTACAATCTCACGTTTAGTTTACTTGTTGTTTTTAGATTTTAGTCCTTCACGGGATGGTCCTATCCTGGAGATATTAAAAACACACAGGGACCATGGGGAACAAAAGTAGCCACACTCCAGAAGGAAGGACAGTGTCAGCAGCAACTCAGAGATGATCTGAGGATCTACAATCGAACGATACACAAATAAGCTACATTTTTGTTAGTAGTTAGGGTACATGAATGCATTTTGATTTAACTTCTGAGTTTAGTGTTACTTTAAGCAAATTATTTTTTTCATGGGTCTTAAAATAAGGAATTATGAGAAGAACCTCATAGGAGCAAATCTGGATCTCCCTGAAGGTCTTTAGGAAGAAATTTGCACTGCACTCATGATGTTAACAATGTCAAAAGCTATGCCTTCTCCAGATTTCAAATGTTTTAATTGAATAATGACTTAGTTAGCATCTCCTTCTTTTTTATTTGTGTCTAACAAACTCTACATTACCCATATGAAGCCCAAAACTATTTTTTGGGCTTTTCTATTTTCCAACACTATCCGGCCAGACACCCCAAATATCACTATTATTTTGCGGTCCTTCTATTTTCCATCTCTATCGGACCAGACACTCCAAATATCACTATTATTCTACACAATCTCATGATCAAAAAACAAAAACTTTACAATGGAGTGCTTTATTTCAAACAGAGCAACTATTATATATAACATTTTCAACACACACAACAAACATTTTTGTTTGGATACCACTTTTTAGACCCTAAATACATACCTCTGAAGGCATGTTTGAAATGGCTTTGTAGTCAGAAGGGTGGATAATGGTTATACTATAAGTTGCCTTTTGGTTGGGTTCATCAAAGCAAGGGAATGATTTCCGTGCATCTGTTGGTTCGTGATCTGTAGCTGCAATACTCCTGGAGAAAAGAGAGGCTTCTTTTAGTCTATTCAGGCTTCATTACAATGTGTATCTCAACAGCCATATAAGCATGTTTTAAATTGTATTTGTATGTATGTATGTATATATTTTTGTCATCGTACTGGCACTATATGTCTATATGTCAATTAAAGTATGCTATGAGCTATTTGGGATTTTAAAAGTAGAAATAATAGCTGTGTTTTCATTTATAGAGCATACTTAAAAATACATTTTCAAAACATTTTTTCCCCCTTTTTTGTTGTTTATATATAGGACACTATAGGCAGTTTCTATTGCTTAGAATAGATGGCAATGCAGAGAAATCAGACAAATGAAGGAGGTTTTTTTAAGTGGATTAACGTACAATGTACCACCCAAGCCCTAAAATCTTTAACCCTTTGTTAGGGTAGACAGTATGCACATCTAGTTTACACATGATACTGAAGATCTGCCAGGACAATACAGACAGGGTTAATTATAGTAGACATACCTCCCCAGCCACCCAGCCCCCCCCCCTTTACCATTACCAAGATAAATAAGATTTTTCAGCATGTAAAAAGCAACTAAAAGGTAGTTCATGCAATGTGAATGGGAACAGGTAACAATTATAAAGTAGGTTTTATTCCATTCAGGCTGCAAAAGTGGAAATACACTTTAAGCAGCTCAATATTCACTTGTACAAAGCAACCAACAGAAAACATTACAATAGCAATGGTTTTAAGCACAACGTTTGCAACATTCCTAGAGGGTATCTATGATCATAAACTAAAAATAAATATGTATTTTTGTACTGAATTTCTATATGTTTTATCGTACTCCTAGTAACCATATCAATCTAGAAGCTTGCAAACCTACCTATTGAAGATGCCCATAGGATGTACTTCCCCAATACACTTACACAATTTCACTCAGCCCTGTGAATATGCACTTCCTTGTGTCACCACTCTAGCTAAGCTTGCTGCCCAAACTAACTCAACTTCCTACAATGTGAAAATTTGGCATCATGATTGCTTGCTGGACGTAATGCATGATGGGATATGTAGTCTTGAGACATTGAGATTGCATCACATCAAGCAGCAGGGAAAGAGATGCAAAGCACCCTGGGAATCCAGGAAATTGTTGAAAGTGATGGACAGATGGAAAGTAGCACTCACTACATAAAATAATTTTTTCAAAAGCTTTGATTGCATTATCATTATACTGAACCTTGAACATAGTTCTGCAGTATGTGTTTTTAGCAAGGGTCAAGCAAGTGTAGCAGCCCACTCGCAGGTTTAATTATTCTGGAATCTGAAGTATGTTGTTTGTGGTCTATTAGTGCTGACACTGTATAGCCCTGCATCCCTATCGTGATATTATTGTAATTAAAAAAAAAAAGTTGTCTTCTGCAGACAAGAGGTAGCTGGTTTCTGTGTGTAGTAGCATCTAAAGCTGAGTGATACATAAAAAAGGTATTTTATTAATAGTTAAAGGAGAACTATGAGGTGAGTGAAAATCATTCATCCTCATAGTTTGAGCCGACGTGTGACAATGAAAAAACACATACCCCGTCGTTTGCTTACTTCTCGATCATCTCCATGCAGAGAGCAGTGACTGTCAGTCACCGCTCCCTGGCGCAGGGGTTCCCTCCCCCCGCTCTGATCCTCCAGTGCTGACCGGAGGAACAAATGGGCGAGGGGGCGGGTACAGCTGGCTCTGCCTCTGGATAGGCAGAGCCAGCTGTCATTCACACAGCTGGGTGGATCTCGACAGTAATGTCGGGATCCGTCCAGGCTGCGGCGGTCTCAGTATATCCCGAGCTGAAGCCGGTGTGTGTGCCTGCTCCTAAAACCTCCTTGGCTTTATGACGAAAATATATCAAGTAACATAACTTCTGCTCTCAAAACTCTAGGTTCAGTAGGAATTGGTCTAGGCCAGGGGTCTCAAAGTACCGGCCCGTGGGACAACTCAGGGGGGAGTTTGGAAGGGGGGGGGTGACGGGGAATTGGAAGGGGGGTGTATTATTATGTGTGAGGGGGGATTTGAAGGGGGTGGTGTATTATTATGTGTGAGGGGGGGATTGGAATGGGGGGGGGTCCCCTATATTTCAGGTGCGATTAGGGATTCCTGTGTCACAAACTTGCGTCTTCCTGCAGTAGGAATCCCTAATCTGGCGTTTACATGCAGCAACTGTCACCCATTCAAGTTAATGTTCAGGTGACAGCCGCTGAATGTACATGCCTGCACACCGCATGTAATCGTATGTGATATGATTACATGCAGTTACAAAAACAATCACTATCTCTGGATAAACAATCGTGTATCCAGCGAGAGCGATTGATTCCTCACTGCATGTAATCCTTTCACATATGATTACATGCGGTGTGCAGGCGTTTACATGCAGCAGCTGTCACCTGATCATTAATTTGAATTGGTAACAGTTGCCGCTTGCAACATGTGCATACATTAAAACTGGTACCGTATATAGTAGCGGCCCCCATGGGACTAAAAAATTTGTCCAGTGGCCCCCGACTAAATTGAGTTTGAGACCCTTGCTCTAGGCAGATGTAAAAAAAGCACCTAACACAAACTGTAAAAGAAAGTATACCACAAAGTAGAGTAATCATGATCTGTAAGCCATAACTCTGCTCTGGTTTGTGCCTAGAAATCTGTTTTTATCCTGATGGGTACTGTCACTTTGCCTGTTACACAATATAGAAAAGGTATAGCTAGGCTATCAATTACAGCCTGCTCACCACACACCTCTGCTCCTGTGACAGTTGTATGTCATGACTCTGCCTAAGATGCTGACAGGCTGAGTAGTTTTTAATGGGAATGAGGGACTAGCATCTAAATTTTGCCAAAAAGTCTAAATTTACATATAAGTAACAACACTGTTTAGCCTGATTAGGCACCACATTTGGGAAATAATGACATGAGTTTAAAACAACTGATGGGGTAGATTATGAGGTGTACCTGCAGGTTCACCCTAATAAACAACAAGCAGGTTTCGGTCCAGTGCCCTCTCTGAAGAAACACAGCTTGGTGCTTGGTGCTCCTACATACTGTAGATTAACACAAGAAGGAAGGATTCCATTCACCCATATGGTAAATGCACAATGTCAAACACACATAGAACACTTCAGAGCTTTGACCATCACAAATTGCACAGTATCCACTGAAGTGTGCTCCATGGTTGACCTGTGTTGAAAGTGTATGACAACCAGAAAGAAGGATGTAGGCTGAGCACAGACAGATGCATGTCAAACATCAGGCTGTGTCTCATCAGCAGCAGCTCTGCATGCATGAGCAGTTAAATGTCAGTGGATCATCCCCACTGTTTTACAGGCCTGGTTTTCATTCTATGAATCACAGGCTTTTTGCAAAATGACATACTGTTAAGATGTTGTTTGAAAGTAATTATTTATTCTAACAACCATTTTGTTGTTTTTAGCTGTGGGGCTGCAAATATTTGTATGACGCCACAGAGCTGGTAAAAGGTACCAGTTAGGGATGCCAGGTGTGGTGCAAATTACTTTAGAAGCCTGAAACAAACTGAAAGTGTCATCTTGGCCAGACAGTCTTACTACATTTGACTACAAGTGTGGAGTTCCTAACACACATCACAACCCAATGGGAATTAATCCTATACATATTTTATAAAGACAGCATGCTAGCCTGACTTTACACTACTTCACCGTGGTAACATGTGTTTTACTGTAATGGAAATTAACACATGGCACTCTGCACTGTGTGCTGTGGACAATTCAGTTAAAATGGCACCATTAAACAATAGTACAGTAGTGGTCAATGCACATGTGCTGCTGTGGCGTGCATTGTGGAGTGATGCATTTGAAACTAAACTCTGGGCACAAAATGTTTTTTTAAATATGTTGCTTAATAGCCACAAAGGATATAAGTCCACTTTGTGTGCACCAATTGCCTTTGCAACTTTAGTTATTACCTTGTAAAAGTAGCAGTGACACCAGCACTGTGCTGCACAGAGCCTGTGCGGAGAGTAGAACTGTGGGAGGGGCCCAGCAGGGTTAGGCAGCTTCAGCACTCCAGCTGTGGTGAAGCTGAAAATCTCATCATGCCTGAGCCTGTCAGAGTCTTGCAATGCCTCATGGAACTTGTAGTTCCACGACAGCTGAAATGAAACTACAGGAGGGGGGCAGATACAAGACCAGTCATTCTGCACAAGGAAAGAGAGCAGAAGTTACTGGTCTTTTTTTACAGGAAGCTCTTGCACAGAGGCCAGGTTTCACAATCCAATACTGTACAGATCTGGCAGAAATACTGTACACAATGCACACCAAGAATCAAGTAAGAATATACATGGCTCTTGTATTTAAAGGAGAACTATGGGGTTAAGGCTTTTCCCCATAGTTCTCCTTAGGGTAACGGGAGGACACGAACTAGCGTCCTCCCGTCACCCTGGGCTCAGTATACCGCGAGCTTCAGCTTGCGGTATATTGAGACGCTGCAGTATACCGCGAGCCGCAGCTCTAAGAGGTCGCAGCTGAAGCGGATCCCGACAATTATGTCTGGATCCGCCCTGCTGGGTGACTGACAGCTGGCTCTGCCTATCTGCCTATCTAGCTGTACCCCCCCTCCCCCATCCGTTCCGCCAGTCAGCGCTGGCAGATCGGAGCGGGGAGGGGGGAATCCAGCCCCTCCCCTGTCACGGCAGAGAGCCGTGACAGGATGGAGAGGTGAGCGAACGCCGGTGTATGTTCGCTCACCTCCCGATCTACTGAGCCGACCTGTGACAGTCTCATTGTCACAGGTCGGCTAGAACTATGAGGAGTGAAAAGCACTCACCTCATAGTTCTCCTTTAAATAATATTTTCTCATGCTTGGGTTCAGCTTAAAAAGAAGTGCAGGTCTGCCTGTTCAATATTAAGCTCAAATTGTATCAGTCCTATTGTTTTGGAAGTCCAGCTGTTGATTTTGCATTGTTTTGAGACTACATAAAAGTTTGATTGCCAACATAATGCATATCTGATAATCTGAGAACCCTAATTTAATTCTGGGATCATACACACAATACACATTTGGTTTCTATCATCCCTGTATTGAGGTTTCATAGCTAGGTGAAGTCAATCGAATCCTCACATACATCATGAACTTCATGTTTTAACTGATTCAGTTTTCTGCCAGTCATATGACTCACCTCAAATATCCTCACATGTAGGAATGAATGTTCTTTATCAAATGTAATTGGCAAATCATAGACTTCACCTAAACTATTATAATTTCCTGAAAGCAGTACTAGAAATATAAAATACAAAGTATGGACAGTATACTGAACAGAAAGTACCTACCTCTAGAATAGAATTCTTCTGAAGAATGACTTCATTTTTTGCCTCCCTGTAGATTGCTACTAGAAGTCCTAAAATTCCTATGCACATATCAACTTTAAAAGTCAGCATTTGCATAGTCCTGACCCCCATGTGACATTATTTGGGCATGGTGTTTGCTTACTTAGTCACAAACTAGTGCCTGGGTAAGAGGAGTCATTCTACTTCTCCTCATACCCATTATTTGAGCTTTCAGATTTGCACAAGAGCACAATATTAGGTGTGCTAAGGCACTTTTCGGAGTCCTCCATTCAGCACTTTGTGTATTGTTATTCTAAATACAGGTTCTCTTCAAACAATCAGTCAGTGTCATTGCTGGAAATAAGTATGTTTCAGTTTGGACAATGTTTCCATTATAGGAATACAAAATGACAAAACTGAGTTTTGAAATCAACATTTGCAGATAAGAAGATTGGGTCTGCACATCAGAACTGTTCTGATGCTCTGTGCTGTCCAAGGCAGCAGTTCAAGGGTCCCCACTCAACCTCCACACATATACATAAGACCTGTTCTGATGCCCTATACCAGTGATGGCAAACGTTTTTGAACCCGAGTGCCCAAACTGCGATGCAAAATCAATTTATTTATCTCAAAGTGCCAGCGCTGAAAATAAGTATAGTATTGTATTGCAGTTTGGGCGATGGGCTTTAAAAAACATTCAACATCACTGCCTTAGGCAAAATAGGGAAAAACACACATATATCAGCGGGGATCCAGAGAAGCCCCACGTCAGGAGGACAGGACATCGCGATCTACCAGGGATCGCTTTGCGAACAATGGTAGATCACGATGATTTATTATATTGCTGGTTCGGCAATATATTAAATAGAATCTGGGCACCAGCCAGGTTTAAAGATGGCCGCCGCGATTCGCAGTGGCCATCTTTAAAAACTTAACATGACTTTACAGTGACCTGCACCTGGAGTGTGCGGGTCACTGTAACCGGGACCTAGACTCGCGTGCCACCAGAGGGGCCTCTGCGTGCCCTCTGTGGCACGCGTGCCATAGGTTCGCCCCCGCTGCCCTATACTGTCCAAGGCAGCAATTCATGGATCTCCCGTCTACCCTCATAAAAACATACACCAATAAAGAATTCATACCTGCTGTCAGAAATAGTGGAGGAATAGCGCAATTGTGTAGATCATGCTCTTCTGTATTTACAATAGAAGCTAGAAAATGGGATCTCAGGTACAAATTTCTAAGTATATAAATAACTTTAATATAGGGGTATGGTGCTAACTAACTAGGCTTTAGGGTTTGATATATTGTGCAGCATTTGGGATCACACAAACGTTATAAGGTTAGTCCACCCAGGGCCAATATTTAATGTTTTGTTGACTCTGAAGCGTTAAACCACCTGCCAGAGACTTCCCAATCTCTCTTGGGAAATCTGGTGGGGAAATCTCTGCAATTGAGTTATTGTGTTTGGACACCTGCTGCAGACAGTATAAGGGTGACCCAGTCTCCCTGTTCAACCTATAAGTTAGTTTACATTATGAAGAATATACCTGGTAGAGTAGGAGCACCCAAAGATGGGGGTTACATTTTAAGGTGGGAAGATCTTATTAGGTTTTAGAGACCATGACATAAAAATAAAATCAGAATGTGACACAGCTCACCATATTCCATCTACAAATAAAATAAAATTTTTGGTAGGATTGAGCCTTTTTAAGAAGAGTTCAAGAAGTACAAGATTGCCCGATAGGGGAAAGGAAAGTGTAATGATATGCTTTCTTTTAACTTCCACAACCCAAATCTAGAGATATTCAGCTACAGTCCCTTCATCCTGTGCAAAAGGCCAGTATTAGCTGTCAGCCCCATTGTGTATATGGAGATACCGAGCCAGCAGGCTGCAGAGAGCAGTACAAGGGTGAAGAAATGTCAGGATCCAACCTTTGCATTTGAAGATCTCAGTATCAGGAGTGTCACTGAAAATAAAATTACATATACTCCAATTTAGAGATGTCGCATTACTGGAGTAAAAGGCAAACCCTGAGACAACATACTGATGGTAGTAGGAATGGGCTTGCTTTCAACTGGCAAACTCTAAATGCTACACTACCATTAAAAAAGAAACATTGTAACCAATTATCTGGGCCTGCTCAGGTGACATGCAGTGGGCACTGCGCCATGTTTTGTTTAAAGCCTCACATTTATGCAACAGTGTGATACAAGATTTTCTTTGTGTGCAGCCATGTTTAATATTTATCTGCAGTTTCCAAGCATGCAGAATTGTCAAAATCTTCAACTTCGGTTCAGACTATGCACATTTCTGCAAACGTTTCAGGGATCTATGGAAGAGACATTGATTTCCCCTGCTAGTTACCAAACACTAGCAATGTAAATATGAAATGTAAAAGGGATTCTTGCATCTCAGTTTGCTTTACAACACCGTACCCTTGCTACAGATAGGACAGATTTAAATCTGATCCACTAACATCATGTCAGGAAAATGGAACAGATAGGCAAACTTTGTCACAGCATTCCTCACACTTTGGGGAAATACTGGAAAAAAAGGGAAATCTTGGAAAAAAAGGGAAATCTTTCAGCTCCTATCAGTGTGTATATAACATGCTCCCATAGTAAAATGTGAAAGAACAGGGCAGACTAGTCAAATATTGGGTCTGTCTGACACTGCCTCCAAGTAGAACTCATAAGCCATAACAGTTTTAGAGTGTGGGGTATATTAGGGATGTGTTTTAAAACCTCTGCCATATTTTATTGTCTGTGCATACCTCCTCATGTATAGAGGTATATGTATAGAGGCAGGGCCCTCCTTACCATCTTGTCTTAAATTGTATTGTGACTGTAATGTCTTCCTTATATTGTAAAGTGCTGTGCAAACTATTGGCGCTATATCAATCCTGTATAATAATAATAATTTGTATTGATAGGAAAGATTAACACACTTTCTATCCTGAAGACCACTGTTACCAGTAAAAGAAAATAATGGGACACGTACGCTTAGGGCAAATCTGATAAAGACATCTGTTCAAGGGTCAAGGTAGGGTTCCCCCCCCCCCCCTAACATTGGGGGGATTTTCTCACGCTTCTTATCTAGGAGACCACTGTCACCAGTATAAGAAAATAATGGGACATGTAAGGTAAGGCCAAATCTAATACAGATATCTGTTCAAGGTTCAAGGTGGAGTTCCCTCCTCACATAGGGAAGATTTACTAACACTTTTATCTTGGAGACCACTGTCACCCGTACAAAAAAAAAAATATTGGGCTGTAAAGTAATGGGCAGATCTGATAAAATATCTGTTCAAGGTTCAAGGTGGAGTTCTACCCCTCACATTGGGGAGATTTACTCACACTTCCTATCTTGGAGACCACTGTCACCAGGGAAAGAAAATATTTGGACATGTAAGGTAAAGGCAAATCTGATAAAGACATCTGATCAAGGTTCAAGGTGGAGTTCTCCCTTCCCATTGGGGAGATTTACTCACACTTCCTATCCTGAAGACCACTATCACCAGTAAAAGAAAATAATGGGATATGTAAGGTAAGGGCAATCTGTTTAAGGTTTAAAGTGAAGTCACCTCTCACATTGGGGAGATTTACTCACACTTCCTATTTTTGATGCCACTGTCACCAGCAAAAGAAAATAATGAGACATGCAAGGCAAGGGAAAGTCCAGAAAAGGCATCTGTCCAAGGTTCAAGGTGGCATTCCTCCCCCTCCCCCCCTCACATCATGGGGAGATTTACTCGCACTTCCTATCTTTGATGCCACTGTCACCAGCAAAAGAAAATAATTGGACATGTAAGGCAAGGGCAAATCTAGTAAAGGCATCTGTCCAAGTTGCCCCCCCCCCTCACATCATGGGGAAATTTAATCCGTTCAAGGTTGAGTTCCCATTTACCATTGGGGATATTTATTCACACTTCCTATCTTTGATGCCACTGTCACCAGTAAAAGAAAATAATGGGACATGTAAGGCAAGGGCAAATCTAATAAAGGCATATGTCCAAGGTTCAAGGTGGAGTTCCCCCCTTATATTGGGGGGATTTCCACTCACTGGGAGTTGTGCCTTCAGGGCAGAAGGCAAAAGTTAATTGTCCCCAATGGGGGCACAGACAGCAAACAAAAACTAAAAGTGGTCCTAACCCTTCCTTACTCTAAAAACGTTTGTGCTGCCCTTCCACTTTAGTGTCACACTAGATGAAACAGCTTTAAGTTTCTTGACATTGATAATGCACACAGTATGGATGATACTTTACTTGGTCACGCCATTTTCCTGGTAGGTGGTCCTGTAGAACCCCACCAGAGAGCCGTTGAGTTGACCAGCAAACTGCAAAGTCAGGCGGTAGGTGTCCTCCAGGTTGTCATCATCGGCATTGGCCGGCAGCTGTTGGGTGAACTCCATCACAACATACTCCTGTGGTCGGTACTCGAAGCACTGGATGAGTTGGATCTCTTGGCCAGTGCGATCCTTCAACTTGGGCTGCCCCGAGATCTTGTTCTCCCTGATGTGCAACCATAGGTGCTTGTCTGAGCTGGTCAACTTCAACCAAATGGTCACCGTGCCATGGTAAGTGTCTTTGTCCATCTCTGGCTGGATTTCCAGGTCATAGTGAAGGGGTCGGATGTGTGATGGAAGTCGGAAGTTCTTCCAGGCCCCGCTGTTGTCATCCTTAACTGGGCAAGCCTCGGATTCTGAAGGAGCAGTGGTAGTAGAGGTGGTGGAGGATGAAGTAGAGGTGGTGGAGGATGATGTAGGTTTAGTCGTGGCATCACCTCCGTTGGTACTTTTACATGGCTCTGGATATGTGAGACCTACGCCAAGCCCAACAGCTAATCCCACCACTACCACCGCTGCAACGATCATGGCCACATGTTTCCCTCTGATACAGAACTTCTTGGAGCCCTTATCCAGTTCTTCGTCCATCTTGAAGGTTCTTGTTCTATAGCGACTGACAGCTGTAGCGGTTCACCTAGACCTCTTCCTTCCTCCTCCTGCAGCGGCCACAAAGATCTGAGACTCTTCACCCTCTACTTCTAACAGCACACTTCTCAGCTCTCCCCCTTCCTCCTCCTCCTCCTTTCCCCTTGCAAATAACTTCGCGTTAATCAGCAATAGATGATGGCAGGGTATTTATCTTGCCAGGGCATTATCGGTGACATGAATGCAACAAGCACAGCATCTCTAAATTGGAAACACAAGACGGCTCTATCAGTGGACTCTGCCCAAACAGCTGCAATGAAACTTTATGAATGTTTCGGGACTCTTTCCTGAGTTATGTGGATGAGGTAATAAATCTCAACAATGATTTTATTGAGCTGTACTGGTGGTATTTGAGATCGCTGGCATGACAAAGTGATTTGGAAGACCTGCCAGGGCTAGCTGTTATAGGCAAATATCTGATTACAGTACAAAATAACTTTTATAAGCACTTTTCTTATCACAGTGCTAAGATCGCATTTTAAAAGTGGGACTATGTTTAAAAACAATGTTTCAAGTGAAACAAAGAAAACTGCTTGAAAAGTGTTCACTGGATACTTAAAGGAGAATTATGAGGTGAGTGCTTTTCACTCAGCCTCATAATCTGAGCCGACCTGTGACAATGAAACTGACACAGGTCGGCTCAGTAGATCGGGAAGTGAGCGAACACATACAGGCGTTCACTCACTTCTCGATCCTGTCACTGCAGAGAGCTGTGACAGGGGAGTGACTGGATTCTCCCCTCCCCTGTCCGATCCTCCAGAGCTGACTGGCGGAACGGACGGGGGAGGGGGCGGGTGCAGCTGACTCTGCCTCTAGATAGGCAGAGCCAGCTGACACTCACGCAGCTGGGCGTATCCACACATAATTGTCGGGATCCGTTTCAGCTGCGGCGTCTCAGTATACCGCAAGCTGCAGCTCGCGGTATACTGAGCTTTGGGTTACGGGGGACGCTAGTTTGTGTCCTCCCGTTACCCTTCGGAGAACTATGGGGAAAAGCCCTAACCCCATAGTTCTCCTTTAAAGTGACACTAAACTCAGGAGTTAATTTAAAAAATGCTTTCAAGTACCTTAACTATAAACAAAATGTATCACTTAGCTGTAGATCCTCAAATCATATCTGAATTTGTGCTGACACTGTCCTTCCTTCTGGAGGGTGGCTACTTTTGTTCCCTATGGTCCCTGTGTTTGTTGTAAAGTAGCCACTGCTTAAAGCTCGCTCTTGTGATGGCATCACAATCTCAATACAAATTAGTAAACCAAACATGAGATTGTAGTACATCACAGGAGCGAGCTTGGTGTGGTAGCTACTTTACAACACACACAGGGACCATGGTGAGCAAAAGTAGCCACCCTCCAGAAGGAAGGACAGTGTCAGCATGAATTCAGAGATGATTTGAGGATCTACAGCCGAGTGATACACAATTAAGATACATGTTTGCTAATAGTTTAGGTATGTAAATGAAGTTTTAAGATTTAACTCCTGAGCTTAGTGTCACTTTAATGTTTCAAAGTATGAGATTTTAGGTCTCATGCACACAGGACTAGACCTACAGATTCTTATGGCAGGAATCCCAAGTGGGTTCGAACTGCCCACTCTGCCTGTTCAAGTGCGTGACAGGCTGACAGAAGCCCGATCTGTCTGTGACTGTTGGCATGTGTGAAATATCAGGGGTCTAAATAGACCCCTGATATTTCCCTTTTGAAATGGAAAAAGAGATTGGAGGACACAGAGTTCTAAATCTCTTTTTCTTTAGCCCCTGTTATGAATGAACAGCAAGCCTCTATACTGAGTGCTCCTGCCCATTCATAAACTGTGGAGATAGAATGAGTTACTATGTCCACAATTATGAATGAATAGGAAGTGATGTAGAGCACTTCCAGTTCATTCATAATTGGGGACACAGTAATCATACTATGTCCTCAGGTATTTACAAACACTCAGCGTTCAGCTGATCGCTTGTAAGCCACTCTCCATCCTTACTCGCTGTCACAGGTGGCAGAGTGGGGCAGTGCGGGGGAAGAGAGTTTGGCCTCCTGTGACAGCCGACTCCTCCCCTGTACCGCTCCACATCTTGAGCTTCTCCCTCCCCGCATGGCACCGCTCGGCCTCCTGAAAGCTCCTCTCCTCCCTGCTGGTCTCTGGTCACTGTCGCCTCGAATCCCTGCTGCATCTGCCTACACAGGCGGGGGAGAGCAGCGGGCATTTAGGGATGCACTGAATTTTCTGACGCATTTTCATCCGTTATGGTACTTCCGGCATTTTGCCCAAAGTACCATTATCGGCCGAAATATTTTGGCGGCCGAAATTTTTGTGAATCCCTAATTCCTGATGCAAGAATCCACAGGTTCTTGCTGGAGGAATTCTCAGCTGCAACTTCTAGCCTTACTTGCATGAGGCCTAAGTAATAGAGTTTTACATAATTTACTATATCCATTTATCTGCTTGACCTCTGCTTGGGCAGCTCAAATTTGCTTTAACCAGAGCAGTGTTTGTCAACCTTTTCTCAGTCACAGCACCCTTTGAAAGTATGCAAAATCTCAAGGCACCCCAGTCTAAAATAGGGTCCCCTCATCACATCAGAGTCCTTAGTCCCCCCCCTGCACAGCAAAGTACTACCTTACACATAACGCAGCTGTGGCATTGTGATGGAAAACAGGAGGTGGAGCAGGTTTAAACCCAATGGACTCCAGATACAGAGTTCCTTCAGTTCTCTTCTGGATGCTTAGGAAAACCCTGAATGATTCCCACCCTGGATTAGCGCCATGGTCTTCCATGGTGCTGGTGGTCGACCCATCTGCCCTATTGCAACGTATGACGCTGTGCAAAAATATGGAAAAAAAACTGTGTTCCATATTGAAATCAAAGCAGTTTTTTTTTTTTTTATTTGACGGAACCCCTGATGAACCCAGGCGGCACACCGGTTGAGGAAGGCTGTTCTAGAGCGCTATGATGAGCTCTTTAAATTTAGGTTAGCACATGTTGGTGTCCTACATCTGTCCTAAATCATAGCTATTCCAGCCCACAGATACTATTAGAATTATTCTTGCACCTTCATTCAGAATGTTTTAAATACTTAAAGAAAAAAATCAGTATAATGATAATTAGGGTCACACAAGTGCAATATAGATGTCACTGTGAACAAGTTGAGATAAAAGTAATAACTTAGAACCATAGCGTGACAGTAATAGCTCAACAACATAGCAATTCTGCTGTAATGATGAAGCCAGCAAAACAGGGAGCAATACTGTAACTTTAGAATGACCTTGGCATTGAGTTTGAAAATTCATGAATCAGTACATTTTCACATGCACTACATTTTATAGAGCTAAAGCGATATTAGCAATTATAAGTCAAAATGTCTGTGAAGGTTCTCATTCATCCAGGTCATTGGTGAAACAAAACAGCAGCTACACCAGCGTATGGCACAGCATAGAAGAGCAAAACCCTCTGGTCAGGATTCAGCAGTATACATACATCTAAAGTAAAAAGGTCGCTCCTTTGAAGACAGTCAAGTACGCATCCTAGACAGGGAGGAGGACTGGTTGAAAAGAGGTGTGAAACAGGCCATTTATTTAAAATGGAGAAGCCAAGCTTGAGTAGAGGTGGGGGGGGCGGGGGGGGAGAGATCCATTGTCCGCCACATACAATGCTGTTTTAACAGGGCAGGTTAATAACACCTCCTAGACTTCATTTATGCAAATGCAATCAACACCTTGTTGTGACTAACAGATTATGTGAATTGGAGCAACATTGACCATATATATTCCCAGATAATTTTTTGTACAAGTCATTCTGAATTGAGAAAGCTGGTCGGATGTCCAGTGAAACGTCTTCATGAAAAATACAGCAAGTCCAGTTGCCTTGACTTATTGTTTACAGATAAAAGTCAAAATGTTTTAAAGCTAATTCAAATGCTGATGAAATCTCTTACAATTGATGCTACTCCTTAAAGGAGAATTATGAGGCGAGTGATTTTCAATCAGCCTCATAATCTGAGCCGACCTGTGACAATGAAACTGTCACAAGTCGGCTCAGTAGATCCGGAAGCGAGCGAACACATACCGGCGTTCGCTCACTTCTCGATCTTGTCACTGCAGAGAGCCGTGGTCACTCAGGCTCTTGCAGGGATTCCCCCTGCTCCGATCCTCCAGCGCTGACTGGCGGAACGGACGGGGGAGGGGCGGGCACAGCTGGCTCTGCCTCTGGATAGGCAGAGCCAGCTGTCAATCCCGCAGCTGGGTGGATCTCGACAGCAATGTCGGTATCCGTTTCCGGCTGTGGCGTCTCAGTATACCGTGAGCTGTAGCTCGTGGTATACTGAGCTTTGGGTCACAGGAGGATGCTAGTTTGTGTTTTCCCATGACCCTTAGGAGAACTATGGGGAAAAGCCCTGACCCCATAGTTCTCCTTTAATGTTTAAAAGTTTTAGTTTCCTGCAGAATCAGCTGGTCCCCTGAGAACTGGTCCTGATATCCTGTTTAGGATGGAAACTTTCCCTTGCAAGGTCCTATGGAGACACATAGGAACCACAAACACACAGGCACAGCAAGACATGTCACTCCTCTGCTCCCCTCCTCCCTTCTATAAGCTAGTAGATAGAAAGTTGCTGGAGTCTGCTCTGTCCCTTGTGATCTTGTACTGAAGGAAGTTCTGGGAAGCTTAGCTAAGAGAGTTGGAGCTGTTCAGAAACATGATGACTGTAAGTGTTTGGGCAAAAATCTGAAGAAATACTATGCTGGGCAATATATATTTGTTTGATCTGGATTCTGGAGATTCTGGAGAGTTTAATACTACTTTATGGATTTTTAAATACATTTCCTGTTATTTTACTTAAGAAACTATAGAACATATTTCCATGGCTGTTTCGGTGGCACTCTGCTTTTTGGTTGTTTTTCTTCCTTCATATCATTTCCAAGAGTTAGTCATGTTTTTTTTTTCCATCTTACGAAAGTACCTCAGCACTCAAAAACAAATTAACTAAA